TAAGCTAGGAATAAACACGATTCACAGTAAGTGCTAATATTTATACATAGATGGTAATTAGATCAGGCTAAAGGTACGTTTTCCCATTTTGAACTGATTACTGAACAATTGTTAGGATACATCATCACTCTATAGTCTCTTAAGAAATAAGGCACACGTAGCATTTAATCATGTGTTTAGTTGTCGTCATAATACCATACGTAGCATTTAATCATGTGTTTAGTTGTCGTCATAATACCACACGTAGCATTTAATCATGTGTTTAGTTGTCGTCATAATACCATACGTAGCATTTAATCATGTGTTGAGTTGTCGTCATAATACCACACTTAGCATTTAATGGAGTTTGGCATCAATAACCTACTTACAATTTTAAAGTCCTATGACAGGACATTTGAACATTTTCTTGCGCTTCAGACAGGCATATCCTACGTTATATCCCATCCTTTAATATAATATAAACTTTATTTATTTTACAACAATAGCGAAACAAGTTATGTCAACTTATACTAATCACTCTTGTTGGCCCGGATGTAAGCGCGCGAGGGTCTTATCATGGGAGGAAACCGGAGTACCCGGGGAAAACCTACGTGGTCGGGCAGGTGATTCCTTCCCTTTTCACGTCCGTTCCGGGAATCGAACCCCGGTCGGCTAAGTGAAAGGCGAGTGCGTAACCACTGCGCCACCCGACCATCCATTCTTGATTTTGCTATTTCACACGATCTATCTAGTACCCTAACATGTGTTTTCGCAGATATATTACTCATCGATGTATTCATACGCGTGTAGGCGTAGGTGGCAACTACACTTGTGCGTTTCAACAAAAACGTAGGTTATGACGTTGTAACAGATTTTATTTAGTTGGAATATTCAAGTTGGGTGATATTCTTTTTTCATAAATTTATAATAGTAGTACACTTGCTTAAGATGATTTCTCACTCTCTTAATAGGTAATGGTCTATCTGTAGTCCTTATGCAATTATCGACTAACCTGCCGCCAATTAACTGATGAAAGGTAACACGACAGGTCACTTTGCTGATGAAATGTACATACGACAGGTCATTTTGCTGATGAAATGTACACACGATAGGTCGCTTTGCTGATGAAATGTACACAAGATAGGTCATTTCGCTGATGACATGTATACACAACAGGTAATGAAATGTACACTTTTAAAAACTTTAAGTATGAAAACCATTAAGGTTAGGATCACTGTACAATATATTTGCTGATGAAATGTACACACGATATATTTATATGTGAAATTTTACTGCTTAGTTCACTTTTTTGTACTATTGCCATCGTGTCCTTCGACATTGAAACAGGACATTCGTGATGTTTATCATTACATTAACATATTTTTGAGGAATCAACAAGTTAGGAGTATGTCAAAATTTGCTAAAAAAAGATGTATTTTTCCATTAAAAGGAAGTTTCATAAATTAGTTGAAATCATTGTCATAAGATTGTTTTCGTAGATTCGCGAAAAGAGGGGAGGGGTGGATATGTACCTTTAGAGCAAGATGTTATATTCAAAGAATCAAATGTTTCTGCCATTGAAATCTTGGTATGTACATATATGGGGTTAATAGTCTTTCTATTTCTATGCATGGATTTTGTTAAAGTGCGTTAAAATGTTTAATGAACCAAGTCGTATTGCAACCAACATGAGGGAGCTACATCATCTTCATACATTTTTTTCATCTATTGTCAAAACGATGAAAAGTTCCCATCTTCAGACTATAGAAAGCTCAATGTGAATACTAGTAACATGTCATTTTCTTTGAAACTATGAATGTTGCCTTGTAAATATTGAATATTGAGGAAATTTTCATATTGTACCAGTTTACACTACACACTATTCTGTTTTAGAAATGAATTGGATGTAACTTGTCCATTAATTATGTTTGCGTTTCGGCCATGCCAAGTTTTAAGTATACCTGCTGTTTTGAAACAGGACTGTCACCCAGTATATACGGTTTTTTATGTATCCAGATTATGGCAATAAAGAGACCAAGCAAGTTCAAGTCTTATAAGTGACTGTTGAGTAAGTGAATCGCTTTTTAAGATAACCATGTAGAGCAGAAACAGGTAACAAAGTTAAGGTATCAAAAAATAACAATGGATGGACGATCACATTATAGATATTATTGAATATTAAAAAGTCAAAACAAATCCTAATAGGTTGACTGATCATCAAACACCTAACGGGTCACCTGCCATCAACAACTTAGACCCTGGGAATCATTGAACGTTTGTTCTGCTTAGTACACAATTACAATAATTATACCTGCAGTTCCATCATATTATCTTCAAGATACGATCTTGTTTTTGTTTTGTCTTTTAATTTTTTTTTCTCTATCCTAAAGACATTTTCCTTGCTTGAGTCTCTTTTGACACTACCTTTGGCCGGAGTTGTCGTGGTACCGAGTCTGGGTAATGACATTTCAGACTGATGGTCTTATAAAGTCGTTCATCAGTGGACCAATCGTCTGACATTGACTGTAAATCAATGATGTAAAAAAGAAATAAACAACAGTCACATTACCATGGTTCTTGTGACGTTAATTGCAATAAGCTTGAATAATGTTACACGTAAAGTTTCAGTATTATTGTGCACTTATAAACGAGCTTGTAGTACGCCGTTGCATAATATTGCATCTATAGGAAAATTTAAAAAAAAATCCATTGCCCTAAAACTAAGGTATTTAATAAATTACCATTCCACCACAAGTAGAACTTGGGACACGACTATAATAATGCGACAAGTGAGGCGGAACATGACGGAGGCTCACCACAGTGTGTTCAAACGATAAAGGATATTCTCAAAGGAAAACGACATTTTATCTCATTGTATGATGAGACATTTTAGCCAATCAGTGACACTCCAATTGCTAATACAACTATTGACTAAATTATCAACAATGCACGATTTATTGATCATGCGATCATATTAATAAAAAACATTCCATTATTGCTGACATTGTCAAAGCTGTGGAATTTCAGTGTTGAAGCAATTTAAATGGCAAACACGTCAGTAAGAATGTCCATGTATCTTCATTCGTTTGAAAATGAACTTTGTGGTCATGTTCATATATGGCAGCTTCGGATTGTTCTTGATGACCATTTTACCCACCATCATCACATGGAGATCTGCTCAAATGACGAATAGAAAGAAAAATAAGGAACACCAAGTTAATGTTCTTTTTAAATTTAGATGTTTTTTCCTCGCAGTGATTGAGCTAGTTTTTGTAGATGAACACTAACACTTACTCCATAAAACAATTCAGTGAAATCATGTAAGATTCCATATCTCTGCGATCTATTTGGACACAGTCAGTGGATATGTGTGTTAATTCTTTTACATAGATAGGTTCTTTTTTGTTAAAATAGGAACTTTTCATCGAAACATCATCGCATTTTGAATCGGTGCAAATATTCGTAAAATCAGGAGAATCTGCAGTCCTTACATCATATTTTGAAGTATGTCCTATTTGCGTTTGTTTGATAAACTTCACGCTATTGATCAATTGGCCTGTATACTGTTAGGTGTGCACAAGTGTGTATAAAAAAGCATCCTGTTTATCGTTAATTGCGAGCCGGTGACTGAGTTTGAGTGTTAATATTTAATGTCTTCATTTTGTTGTTTACGTATTGCTGCTGCTGGGGCATGTAAAACTGTCACTTGTGTTCCGCATGTTTTTTTAATATGTTTTCGGAACAGCCAATAGCCATCGCGTTCATACGATAAAGGATATTCTCAATAGAAAACGATATTTTATCTCCTTGTATGATGATGCTTTTTAAACAATCAGTGACACTCCGATTATTAATACAACTATTGACTAAATTATCAACAATGCACGATTTATTGATCATGCGATCATATAAATAAAAAAACAAATTCCATTATTGCTGACATTGTCAAAGCTGTGGAATTTCAGTGTTGAAGCAATTTAAATGGCAAACACGTCAGTAAGAATGTCCATGTATTTCCATTCGTTTGAAAATTGTTCAAAACGAACTTTGTAGTCTTGTTTTTTATATATGTTTTCGGAAAAGCCAACGAGCTAATATGTTCATTATTGGCTGTTGATGTTCTGCAGCTGAAGTGCATTCAGCTGTCAGACAGAAGCTCAATGAGCTGTTTTTGTCTCGTTCCTATCTCTCTCTCTGTTGTTGGAACGCAAAAGCACTACAGATATAAGTCTGACTATGTATAAACACGTTGTGTCCATGGCGAAGTTAGGAGCTAGTCGTAAATGTGAAATGATGTGTCCCATATATAAGATATATGATACGTACGAAATTTATCTAATTATGGGGATGCTGCAAGCCCTTCCCATCGGTTTAGCTTTTGACTTTTCTTTCGACCACTTTGGATTTTCCGTTTTCCAATTTTTTTCCCAAAATTTATGCATCACTGTTTTATTTATTGCTTTGCTGTAATGTATCATCTAACTCTAAAATATTTAAAGGTGCTTTGTACTCGCGTGGTTTTAGGTAGTGGGCGTTGCCCATGTTTGTGTTGAAGTGTGTTTACCTCTGTTATTTGTTAATAAAATAAGATTAAGGTGTATGTGACTTGTTCGTTATTTCCACGTAACCACATGGAACTCCAGTCTAGAATATGGGTTGCTTTGTTCGTCGTCTTGTCCACTCCTCCTAAAATATAGCAGGGCAGTATCTATTGATTACCAACTTTGTCTTCAAAAATTTAAGTTGTGTATGGTTATTTAGTCAATACAAGACTCCTCCGAGGGCCTGAGGGGTTGAGACCTAGGAGGTGGCTGAAAATGCAAGAATATGTAAATATCTAGATGAGAAGGTGAACAAATCCAATGATTTAACTAATTTAGATATGAGATCATAGGATGTACCGTTAAAACCTTGAGTACTGTGATAACCAATAATATTATGTAGAACTTATATCGTATTTATAATGCAAAACAAAACTTATTCCTGAACGTCTAAATATCGTCCTTTTTCAGAAGAGAAAAATGTCAAGAGTGGAAGACTTGCCCGAAAACGTGAGTAAACTATCGAACATCATTATGACATATTTGATATCAGAAAGTGAAAAACTCTGATAACATGGTGATACAGTTTGTATCGCTTTGGGAGGAAAATGGTAGACGGTACTTAAGAAGAAAATTATTTTGGTAATTTCAAAATTAGCTGAAGGAATTTGCATTCTGGTAAAAGGTAAGGTCATTAGCATATTACACAACCCTGCAACGGTATTCAGCGCAATGAATTACACTACCGAAGGCATCCAACCCAATCACATTATCACAATGATAAGCGTTATCCAGAGAGTAGCAGACCAAAAAGATTTTAAAAGAATTGTACGCTTAAAATGTTTACAATGTTAAATGATCAGACATGATCTAAATTTCGATTGACCATTGGCTACAAAGATCAGCTTGGATCTGCAGTGAGATATAAGGGAATGCATGTCAGCTTATGTTTGTATATTGCGCAGCTTCCAAGAATTAGTAGTATCAGAGATAATTATCAACAAAATTGGATTGAAATAGTCATAAACAATGAAAAATATTTTGTCCTTTAAATATGTTTACTTTTTGGATATTCCCAGCAAAGTTGGACGTTAAGTAAACAACAGGCTTACATACCCTAAGTCAATTACTTTGATGTTCAGATGCAGTGTAACAGCTTTGCATGATCATCATGATCATTTTAATATACCTATTACGACTTTTCAATTGCAAGGATGTCTAGAATAATGTTCAACCTTGATGATTAATTTATTCACAGTCACTTTACATAGGTTTTGTGATATTTCATTGATATTTTGCCTTGCAGCACATCGACAGTCTCGAGAATAAAGAGTGTACTGACATCGAGTTAGATCATGACAATGACACACCAGATGTAAGGAATACTGAAACGTTCATTAATGATAAGTGATCTACCTCATTCAAAATATAAAATTTTGGAGAAGAGGAGAAGAAGGGTTATCTGAGCATTAATGATCATGTAATGAATGTATCAATATGATAATTATGTCTTTCAGACGAAAATTCAATTTTTTGTGTGTTCATTAGTTAAAACATAATTATTTGATCAAATGAAAGAGTCAAAGGTACACTTCCAGAGAGCAATACAGCAAAGTAAAATTAGGCCTTTTGTGTTTTACTTTTATTGCTACGTGTCGTGTTTGCTGAAAAGATAACAAAAATCAGTGAAAAGTCTATTGATTTAATGTGCTCCAAGTGCAGATTTTTTTTTTTAATCAATTAACGAATTCAGAATGTTTTGATGGTATATTATCGTTTGTCTTCATTGCGTTTAAATCAAATATAATGATAAAACACTAAAATCTATAATTAACCGATTAACGGATGACGACGACACAATTAGAAACCGAAACTGGTTCTTTCTAATATTACACTTGTTTCTAACAAATAAGTTTTTTACATCTGTGCATTGCGTTCATTTTCACATTTCCTATGATGAAAATCCGCTCCGCATTATTTACAATTTCCTTACATATATTCTTTTCGTAAAAAGCAGTCTCGGAAGTATAGCCAATGGTCCATTTTCAGTTTGCTCTGCACAATATGAATGCATGAAATATTTAAATTCTTATAAAATTGTTAAAACACACAATGGAAATTAAGAAACTCAAAGACTGGCCGATGGCTTCGTCTTCCAGAAAAAAATATTATGAGATGTTCTTTTTTTTTAATTTTTGTCTTTCCGATAGAATTCTGAAAAGGATGAAGAAAGAGAGGAAAAAAAGCAAGAGCTGAAGGCAGTTCTTTTTGAATTGGCAACGACTACTACCATCCATGGTATAGGAAATATTGTGAGCGCAAACAAGACGTACAAAAGGCTGTTATGGCTCAGCCTGTGGTTGTTAACATTTGTGGGATACTGTTTCCAGTTGTCACAGATTTATATAACGTTTACATCTACGCAAAAGACGACAACAATGGATTTGAAGTTTGGAGTGTTGAAATTCCCAGGTGTAACTTTTTGTAATCTCAATCCGGTGAAGAAAATGTTTTTAACGGAAACATCCGATGACATGCAGTTATTTCTGACTATACCAGAGGTTGCGGTACGTTGTTTTCATAGATATATTATAAATTATCGTTGCCAACGAATGTCAGTTTCATGTGATACAGCCGAAGGATTGCACGAACGAAAACATTACAATAATAATGTCTTGTTTAATACGTGAAGCTTAAAAACTGAACTGGTTCCATATGAACAAAGACCAAATTCAAAAAATAATGTTTAAGCGATAAAGTTGATATAGTTATCATGTAAAACTTAAAATAACTTAAAGATAAAAACAATAATTACTTCTAACGCACTAAGCATCACTAGTCTGTTTCATTATCTGTTTAGATGAGATATTATTCGACACCTATTGATATCGAGATCGACAGAAATCATCCTAGATTTAAATTCCTCGATAGATTTGAGAAACATGGATTTAATACAGAAGGCTGGGATGTACTGAGTTACATTCCGACAGATCCATTGCAAACCAGAGATTTATTTATTAAGAGTGAAATCAGTAAAATGAACAGGTAAGTAATGAATAGTAAAAATAACACAGTGTTGTTTATTACAAATATTATACGTTGATAAAGGGTTTTTTCACCGATGAAGGCACTAATTAAAACCTCGCAGATTATACATGTATATGCATTATCGATATCTGAAATGCACATTGCATATTACTTAAGAAGTAGCAGGACAGTTGATTTATTTGTAACATTTTCCCAGAAAATTTCGTTTTTAGCGAGCTGCGTTTAAATTCCTTATTTGGCGATTTCGTCCCTAAACCCAAAAGGGGGTTATACATTGTTTGTGCAAAAAGTAAGTCTCATGCATCAATGGAGGATCCAGGTAATATTACTTTATATTATCTATGAACTGAAGAATAGAATGTATCTATATTTCCCCTATCGTGTCATGTCCTGGGTGGTAAGAGAGAAGATTGGAGGAATAAAATTTTGATTCTCACATATATTTGGTATATCGCCACTGCTCCTGGGATTACTTACTCATTTCATACAAAAATTATTCCCCCGATTTTCCCTGCATAAAGAAGCTGTGCATTCATCTCAACAGTTGAAGGAAGATATTTAACATGCTGCGCATTTTAGCGCTTGTCACTCAATTCCAGTTTGGACCAGACCATCCTTTTTCAACAAAATTGCTTCCCCCCTTCCTCCGTAAATCCTCCATGAGAAATGATCCTGTCCCAATTACGTCAACAAATAACTTCATCTTACAGGAGAAAGGGGATTTTCACAATTCCATTTTTTTACTTTATCCTTACAGTATTGCAGAAGAAAGATGTTAAGAATCACCCGTTTACCTGCCTCCATTTTGCATGTTTTCAATCCCTTTCTTCAATTTTAAACATGTAATTAACTCTTGTAAAAGCATAATAATGAAAAAAAAATCCTATTTCATTTTACAGGAGTACAATAGAAAAAATAGGCCACAACATTGACGATATGTTGCTCCATTGTTCTTTCAACGGTGACTCGTGTAACTCAAGGTTTGATCCTAATGCAAGCACTGATATCAAGTGTTCACAAATATATGTGTTACCAAAGAATGTGTATTATGTCGTTATGTATGTAAACAGACATGTTTTTGAGTATCATTACTAGCACGAACACATGGAGTCGGTAGATCTTAGCTTGGCTTTGAAATTAATAATAAGAATATATTCAAGAAATATTCTATCATATTGATATCACAAGGCTCACCACAGGCTTTTTTCTTAATATCACCTTCCATATACGTACACTTATACAACATTTAATCATTTCAATGTCGTACAGAGAATATTGAATACATAATATGTTAATTATTTTTAAAGTGTTGTTGTTTACAGTTTGTTCACACCAGTAAGCAGTACTCGTTATGGGAACTGTTATACTCTCCAGACTGATGACCTTGTCAGCACAGTACCTGGACCTCCTTACGGTAATACATATCACCCCTTCATATTCACATACATATATCTGTGTAATAATTGGTTTATTATTACAAAGGCATAACATTATACTAAGATTTATTGCTAAATATGTTTTACTTACAATGATGTATCCGACATACTTCCGTTTAGACGTATTCCGCAATGCGTTGTTGTGTGTCTTTATGAGTTAGAAAACCACATGTAGTTATAGATTAAATGCCTACCTTGTTATATGTAAACCTAAAACCCAAACGGTCACCTCAGTAATAAACACTATTTACGTGTCTAAGACAGGAAGAAAAATGCACTTACATCATTGTTTAATATATCTGATTGTGGATCTTATATACATGTAATTTAAAGTTCGCAGTGATCCCAAACTATCATTACATACAGAGATAAAGATATAGAGATATAGATAAATATAGAGATATAGAGACCGAAACTTTCAATATTCGAGGATGCTGATATATTTGCGATTGGTATAAACAATTCCAGTGCACTAAAAAGTGTACATTTCAGGATTTGTCTACGAGCAGTTAGCAATGGTCTATTATCATAAAAAAAAAAATTTTGAGAGGAGGCGCATTTTAGCTGTTTGAATAAGTATTATACAATAAGTCACACTCTACTGCGATGCAATCTAGCCATACGAACGTTTCGGAAAGCAAAATAAAAAAAAAATCAATTGAGAATTAAATACCGATAGCTAATCATCATATAATCATGTACAGGTTTGACTCTAATGCTGGATTTGGAGACATATGAATATGTAAGTCCGTCCAGCAGCGGAAATGGAATCAAACTTGTGATTCATGAGCCAGGCGCATACCCTTTTGTTGAGGAACAAGGAGTGAACGTAGCACCAGGTCGATCATCAATAGGTTTAAATCGTGTATGTAAATTATATTTTTATTATATGAGGAAATAAAATGTTAACTATTGTCATAATGATAAAACTTATCCATTTTCCTTCATAACATCAAATCAAAGCATTCTTTCTGACAGGAAGTTTTCATTTCTGGTTCGCTATACATCCTAATCTTAATCAGTATTTACAATATTGAATCCTGTCATAGAATTGCTTCCAATCTCTGATTAATTACATGTTTATTTACAGATAGAAATTCAGCGATTGAAACCTCCGCAGGGAAATTGTGATTATCACAATGGTTATGACGACAAGTACGGAATAAAATATTCAAAAATGGTAGTATCCTTAATTTCTAACGTTTGATATAATACTGCTTTTAGTTCTAGCTTATGACGAAATTTTTTATTATAGATATTACATATTACTTCGACTTCTGTATATATTTTGGAGGTTATTTCCATTGCTTACTGATATTTAGAGGTTAATATATCGCCATTTTCATATCAAGCCCGATACCTAAGACAGTCCTTTGGCTGATGTCAAGACGAGGGCTAATAACGGGTGTGATGTAAAAATAGTCATATAATAACCATTTTATCTCTTTAATTTTCAACATTAATTTAAATACATTTTTCAAGTTGACTTTTATTTGAAAAACCTTGATTAAAATACATATACTTCACTATCAGAATCCGACTGAATAATAGGTACTCTCTTTCGAACATGTAAGAAGAATCTTGTCAAACATCTTCCTGATTCAGATGTAATTATGTCTTCCTTATTCCGGATTTTAGTAAAAGACTGCTGTAATTCAACGAGGATGCAAGGATCGAACCCTGTTTTCCTTGTGTTTTCCTTTCGCATAATATTAATATGTTTTTCAGTATCAACATTAAGGCTTAACAATTAATTTTCCTTAATCAAATTTTCCAAGTTTGAAATTCTAGACGCAAGGTTCTCTGAAACCACTGCTCCTTCTGCTGACGCTGTTTATCAACAAACACAGACGGCAATTGATGCGTTGACTATTAGATGAAACGAGCCAAATCCAGAAAAAAATCCGTATGATGTCCGAGGACAAAATATGATTAAGTCATGGTCCGGGGCGTGATATGAGTTTTTGTGGATTTCACTCACATCGTATATACAAAGACATCTAATAAAGAGACACAAGATAAATGTTATTATCTTCTTACCTCACATACATCCTAACCTATTTTCTAAGTGACCATATAGTTATTAATTGGGGTTAATTACATCTCGGTTATTTCATCAGTATATTTGAAGACGGCATTCATGCATGAAATGTCATACAGTAACTGTTCAATGCACATATGGCCTACAAAACACACACAACTGAAAACACTTCTTTACTTACTTAGGACACTTGATATTGCAAATAATGTTTTTTCTAAGAAAAAAGCTTTCTGGCTTGAAAAAAGTAAGATTAACATTCAGTGGTATTTATCAATTTTTCTGTTAATGGTACATGCAAGATCCAGATAATACAGTCTGCAATATTTCACATGATCGTAGGAGAAGACAAAAACTTGTGTCCCCGCAGAATCGAGGGCTTTCTTCCTGTCTTCTACCAAAGAGGCAATGAAGAGACCAAGAAAGATCCGCTGTCCCCATGGCAATATTTGATCTGAATTTTTTTTATGTGTTATTCTCTTGTATGTCTCTTGTACAATCATCATACGTAATTTTGCAATGCAATAAAATATTATGATCCATCATTTTTGTTTAGGCATGTGAGCAACTTTGTCAAGTCAATCTCACAAAGGACATATGTGACTGTGTGCCAACGATGGTATCTATTGATCAGTCTAGTGTTACCGATTCTTCCAGTTACTGCGGATTGTTAGACAGTACGTTGGTAAAAATATAATCAATAATCAAACAAAATAAACATTCTAGATGACAAACACCCAAGCAATGTGTGATGAAAGACTAGAATTGCGACAATATATATCAAGTCATATCACGTCATATCACGTCATATCAAGTTATATCCACTCGAAATATTCCTGTTTGTGAGCAATTTATGTATTAAACATTATATTTAATGGGGTCTGAATTATTGGCAGGAATGATACAAATATCTGAAGAACTCTGACTGAAATGATTTTTGTAAAATCTTTGTAGACGTTTAAAATATCGCACTATATTTATGTAAATAAGTTATTCGTAACCTCAGATGGCATTACATTATCTAATTGATGAGAATATATAATATGGCCTTGCAATATAAATCAGCGGGAATATTCTTCAGTATATATTACTTTTTACATTTTAAAATCTCCAAGAATCTGTTTAATATTTGCTCGAAATATAACTGACTTTTAACATTTGTTTAGTTCCTTGTGCCATCCTTGTCAGACAAGCCCAGGTCAAAGGTGATTTGCACTGTCCCTGCACCAACCCGTGTTTGTACGTAATATAAATCAAATGATTTATATTTTCTTCAAAATCTTTTTAATTTAATTGATATTAAATAAATCTTGTATGTAATGGTAACACTTACAATGCTCAGATATTATTACATTGTATATAACATCATCTTTATCTTAAAAATGCTAAATGTAATCGTGATGTTCTTCTAGAACGGATGAACCCAAAAATATCAATGTTAACTGGAAAACAGCAAGCAAAAACAAAGGCTTTTCACCTATGTGGTCGAATATCATCACCCTTAGCTTCTTCATTACTGATGAGAAGTTGTTGTAACATTTACACATACTTGACTTCTATGACCGACCATTAAAGTGAGTAAAGATCATTAAGTTGAGCAACGTTATCAAGTATGCCACAGTCCAATAGTATGACCTTGGTTATTGGAAAGAAGTCTGTAAAAAAATAACACCTTTCAAATTCATTCTTTTAACAAAAATTGGGCGTTGACTTTTGGAGAAAAGGGTTCCTTATGTAAAGTTTTTTAAGTAGGTCTACAGAACATATCCAAAGATGAATTTGATCTTGATGTTACTTTTCAATGATGTCGAAAAACTTAAAAGTAAAATTGGGAAGACTTTTTGGGGATAATGTTACATTATATTAGAGTGACATAACATTCATACTGTAAGGAGAAAATATCAAAAACTGCATGCGATGGCTTCTCCTCGAAACCAGATACAGTCTTGCAAGGAAAATGTGGTAAACCTTTGACCTACATGTGAGGATTTGAATTTGACTTGCTTGATAATAATGCGATGTTACTATTATCTAAAAATGTGATATAATGCATGGATGTTGTTTAATAAACAGGTATGAAAAGCCTCTGGTAGATCTTACTTGGATTTTTCTATTTATTGAAAATATTGGAGTGACATATTCAAATCAGGATCAACATTATACTTGATATATTATGGACATATTTATCACAGACCAATAGATTAAAAAGTCACAAGACGACTTGGAAAAATAATGAAAGAAAAAGCAAGCATTCAAGACTATGTTCTCACCTGATAGTAACTATAGAATACAGGTATATCATAAGATAACATATTGGGTAAAAATATAGTTTTTATAAAACATATATATTATATAATATTATATTTCAGTGAAGCCAGCATAATTGTTATGATTTCAACATCAGAATGTGACGAATGTAATACCTTTATATTCACAGAGAAAATAAATACAGCAAGACCATTTCAAGTCACAGCTGGCCTAGACAGGAGTACCTGGTTAGTATTGGATACCCCAGATTAATTAATACTCATTGCTTTCGGTTTCTTAATCCTGAAATACAGATACTGATACTTAAGCTAAATTCTATTCAGAAATGGTAGAAATCTTTTCTTCAATGCCTAATCAGTTACCGATATCACGTTGAATTTCCTTCTATGTATATTCTTTTATATAAATTAATATGTTTCGTTCTTTTGTTAAACATGTGAATACCACAATAACGACAATTATAGAACTGCATGATGAAAGCATTGTAACATTTTTCGTTGTATAAAACCACATGTATATTGTATAACTTGTGTTTAATAATTGATATTGTTTGGAATTGTTATGACTTTTGATTTCTTAAACAGACCCGCGAGATTATACCTTTGATTTGTGAAAATACGGAAAGAGCAAAGAAATTAGAAAACATAACTGGATACTCTTGCCTTGATATCACACTGAATATCGCACCAGCGGAATCTGTGGAACCGTATGTTTATGAGCTCACAATCAAACTACATGTTATAATTATTCTTTTAATTATTTTCTGCTATTCAATAAAAAAAGTTATTTCCGTTTTCTAAATTGATATGTAAATATTTAAGTATAGTCTGAGAGATTTCATTCTGAGTAGCTGTTTGATACACTTCACTTCCTTGTTTGGCTCTACTGTATCTAACTCTAACTTTTTAAAAGTGAAAATAACGGTAAACGCTCACTAGCATACTAATCCTGTCCTGGCTGTGTCTAAGGGTAAGACGCTTATCCTCAATGCATTTGAAAAACAAGGAACTGATCCTATGCAAGATGTCCAGTGCTTTTACAAGACAATAAAGACAATACCACCACAGATAAACCAGTCAAAACACGGCTCTGTCGAGAACTATTCCTCAGTTGTTAAACACCCTAAATACCTAATGTAAAAACTATCTTTATATATAAGTAGAATACTATTACACTTTTGTCACATATGAAAAATTTTGTGTTCAAGATCCGGTTTTTATCCCTAACTTCTTTAGAAAAACATTTTTCTTCATTTTTTTTTTAAATAAAAATTTGTCTTAAAACAGAAACGCTCTAATGAGATCTTAGGTCTGCCAGTGTGACAAAGGAAGGTCATTAACTTCTAAATCGAACTAAAGACTTGTAACCTTCTTTACCATCATCAATGCCTTTTATAACAACAACTCATTAAATGATTATTACAACAGACAGACAAAACATAAATAATAGTGATAAGATTAACTCCTGCTTTATTATATAATGATATATATCGGCGAAACGTTTAGGTTTTTAATGTGAACCAAACAAAAAATATATTCGCTTGTTACAGTATTCGACATTAAGGAGTTGACGGTCAATAATAACCTGATTCAGTGCTTCATTATCAAATTTGTTTTCGCTTTTGGAGGGCATTGAGCTTATAATCATTATTTGTTTGAATATCATTACAGGTTTAGGGACAACTTCGTGAAACTGGATATATACTTTGAGGACCTGAACTACGAACATATCGAGGAGGTCCCTTCATATGATGTAAGTGCTAGATTATTGATTTACTTAATTGACGGCTCTGAAGAGAAAAAAATATTTATCTCGCTACCAAATTATTGCTGCTTGTGCATGTTTTAACGTCGTAGCAAGCGCACAAAGGTCAAACAAAGACAATGTACGATGGGGTTGATTTCTTGATATTTCCACTTTTGAAAATAACCATTTCATTCGCATTTTTTAACGCCAGTTAAATATTATAGTATGGCGCTGTCCGTCCGTCTGAAACTTTTGTTTTCTCCCACAGTTTTCAACGATTTTATTTCAAATCTGAGACGCTTAATCAACATAACTTGAAGTTATTATATTTGGAAGAGTCACTGCCCTTGTTGATTTTTTAATATTTATCTTGAACGGAGATCGCTCTCATTTGCTTACCAATTTCTTTCAAACTGAATAGGCTTAGTCACCATGACATAGAGTTGTTTTCCTAAATGGCAGTTTGAATTTATTTAATTTAGCAATTTTGCTGTTTTATAGTAATCTTGGCAGGTTTTATCAGCTAAGTGTTGTTTTCCTACACAGCAGTATAATTAAGCAATTTCTGAAGGATTTCTTGCTCTATTTATGCATTTTATTTTTGTGTGGAAATGTCCTTTCTAAATTTTTTATCAATTTCTCTGTAACTAGGTAGGCAATAACATTAAAAGTAGACTTCACAATTTTGGGAACAGTTAATGCCTTTTGTTTTATTTCCTTCCAGACTTCTTTTTTATTTTCCATGCATTTCTCTTAAACATGGTATTCGCTATTTCCGTGTCAAAATTTCAGGAATATCAATTTCTCTCGGATATTGGCGGAGCGACAGGACTATTTATTGGAGCATCAGTTCTCAGTTTGGTTGAGGTGATTCAGATATTGGTGGAAGTGCTTAAGTATGCCGTGAACAGACTTCGGAAAAAGTAGCACCGTTTCCATTTGGATATGATGTTCCTGAAAACTATTTTTCATCTCTGTGAATCGTCATGATTCAGTAAGGACGATTTTTCATGTTAAATCTCGTCAATATTAAGTTTTCAAACAAATTAGAATTTGTATTTATCATAAGAAAATCCGTTTCATTTTATGATTAAAAATATTGGAATGTTTGTTATGTTCATTAATGTGTCTTGTAGGTCCCTGGTCACTGCTGCACTTCTCACCATGAGGACGTTACATTTCTTGAATTCCGTCAATGGTAGATTTATATATGATGTTATAAATAAATAATGAAATATAAACATACTTCATCATTGATAATCATCTTCTTTATCGTCGAAGTAGCAAAATATGATGATCATTCATTTATTACAGCAAGTTTCATTTCTCTTGTACATTGTAATTGTCTTCTTGTAAATGTATTTTTAGAGTTTAAAGTAAGACATGGTTTACATATAGGTATAGTGTTGTATTTCATATCGAAATGTTTAAAATAAAATGATTGATTTAAACCCAACAGAAAATATTTGTGCTTACTTGATCGTTTCTGTCACCTCAACCAATACATAAGTAAAGAAACGGTAACATCGGCATTGTGCAGCCTAAAATTTGGATGTATCAAATTCATACATGCCACTCATTTTGTATGCCTACCAGCTGTTCATGGCTGGTTGTATCGAATGTTATACTGCCAATTTTATATTGCGGCCGTACACGCAACCTTATGGAGTTTACATACACAAGAGTCAATGCTGATAACATTGAATACATTGGTTTCTTTTCTAAACCTATTCCGAACTAGTACTGTTGGTGATAATAGTTTAGTTTGGTATAAATAATTGATATATTACATTTTTATTCGTGATATATAAGAAGACGATGTAAGAAATGTTACATCATCTTTCTCCCAGTTTTGACCAATCAGAAAGATGCTTTCTCTTCATTGCATCGCGCAGTACTCTTGGGTAGCATATCAAATCCTTGCTGTGTACACTGCGGTCTCTTCACATACTTTGTTACAGTTTGTCAGCAATGACCAGAATAAAACTTCAAAACGGTGCTATTTTGTTGTCAATCATTAAGCGATCAATATGACATAACACTCCCACGTCAACAATTACGTAAATGTTTCCAGACATACGTTTGTTTGGTGCTTGGGTAAGGTTGTTTATTTCTTCTCCTTAAAGATGTAATTAATAGAAACTTGAACACTACTTTATTATGTGATTAATTAATCAACCCCTTCATAAATCCTTATCAACCATGCACGAATAAAGTTATTGATCAATTCTGATAAAACTGCAGTCATGGTTCATTATAAAACTTTGCGTTCAGTTAATTTTATTCGACTGCAAAGGACGTTGGGGTCAATTTCAAAGGTAGCACCATTAGTAACGGGTGTGCGCTGGTGCGTTATCCTGTTGAAAAATGGCGCCAACGCCATGGCGTCTTAAGAATGGCAGAACCACTGGTCTTAAAATTTCGTTCCGATATCGACTGCCGGTTAAACTGCCATTTAACACAACAAGCCTGATACGAGTCCCCCCACAAATACCACCCCAAACCATTACACTTCCTCCGCCAAAGCGGTTCGCAAAACGCTCCCCTCGTCGCCTCCACAATCTGCGCCTGCCGTCACCGTGTTGCAGACAAAACCTGGACTCATCTGAAAACAGAACGTTGTTCCATTATCGTAAGGCCCAACGACGGTGAACACGGGTCCAGTTACGCCGATTATTACGATGACGTCGCAACAAATTGGGTCCAGTGTAGGAACGCCGCGCTTTTAATTGGTAGGCCCTAAACCTGTTGCGGACTGTTTGGGGAGACACACAACGCCCAAATAATGTCCTTGTAGTCTCTACTGCGGGTACGAATCGATTGCGCAAGTGTATCAATCGTATACGACGGTTATCCCTGGCGGTCGTTTTACTGGGTCGGCCGCTTCGGGGACGATCGGATGTTGACCCAGTTTGGTTTAAACGACTTAACCTTTCTTTTTTTGATGAGTATATATGCTGCCATACTAATGCTAATCGGGTAAAAGGTAAATACGATTGCAGCTCAGGGTTTCCATACATATTGCACAAAATCACGTTGCTAAGTGAAATAAACAGATTTAGAGTCACTAAATTACATATACCTATCAATAATTTAGTTAAGTAACACTTATACAATAAACATAAGTTTCCCTTTACTATCAACAATGATATTTCTACTTATACACTTGTTTACTATAACAACAAATAGTTATGCTCGAGTGGACGTGCATCGATACATAGATTGCTTGACCAGTATTAAGTTAAAGCTAAATATGGCATAAAACAGCTAACTGAAACAAATAATTACGAGCGAAAGGTAGCATAACTACACCAGTCACGGTTCTGGACTCCGTTCCATAACATACTATGGCCAAAAAACGGACCCGTACACGGGTCAACCGGTACCATACACAATGGCCATCGTTCCAACCTTCCCGGTCACACACCAGCCGTACTCACTCACACGTTCACACATAAGCTTACGTAATCCCTTTTCTAACAAAAATATGTTGCCACACACTTGCGTCCAACGTTCGACTGGTCAAGAAAGTAACCAAAAATACCAAGAGTCAACATACTTATAACTCGAATTCAATAAAACTAGGACAAAAAAAAGAACAAAACAAAGATCAACACGAAGACTCCTGAAAATGGAAATGAAAACATGAACAAAACCAGGTATTTCGGAAGAGTAAGCGTCCTCTGCTTCATCGACAACACCAGCCATGTAATCCTTGTCCAGTTATGACACGTACGCAAATGAGAACAAAGCCTACAACAGTGGAACCAAAATGCAAACTTATAAGCTTCAAACATGCCAAGTTTCATCAATCACAATCAGCTGTGTCCATGATTTTCAATTCTGTAGCGTACATACAATGGACTTTGTGACCTGCATGTAGCGAGGGTTTGCCGTGGTTTGAGCCAGTAATAAAACGCTCTATATATTGATTCTTGTGAAGTTAAATCATCAAATATATACATGGAGGTCTGTATCATTAGTATTGCTAGTCAATCTAAAAGCTATTGATTCATGAATAGCCAGTATGTTTCCTTTAGAATGATTGCGTAATGTATAGGCTGGGTTTCCTTTGTTCAAATATGCAGAAATGCATTAAGTTATCTGCAGGCACAATAAATTTTGTGTGGATTTAATATCAGGATAGTTAATATATCAATAAGACGCCATCGATTTCTTTATCACGTTTTGTATTGTAAAGAAAGCAAAAAGGTTATTTTATACAATCAGTAAACAAATATGATTATGTCCTATTGTGTTATGTCTTTTTCACTACCATTTTTTTGGATTCCAAGGATAAACATTGTTTATAAGTGATTTCAAAAGTATTCACGAAATCAACGAAAACAAATCTATAACGATTACATTACAATAATGACGCGGTTAAAATCTAAAATGCGACACTCTGATTCCCGAGTGCTCAATTGATTTCATAAATGTTCATTAGCTGTCGGCAGTAACTAGATATACCACCAAATTACCATAGCTAGTCCATATTTCAAATTGTATCCATGTGAAAAATGTGACGGTATTAAGGTCTATTTAAGGTAACTAACAAGTAAATATTCTCACGATTTCTTGTGATGAATCATGACACGTGTTTATTATTCTTAATTCAAGCATATAATTATATTTGTACGTTACATAAGGTAAGATGTCACTATGTCTTCTTAAATTCATAAACAAGAATTCTTCTGTCTCTTTGACAATGCCTCTCATTATTACCAGGGCTATATGGGGAATGATATCAAGAGGGACACTCAGAATGGAACCTAAAGCATGGAAAGAAAGAACAATATTGGAAAGAAAAGAAACAGTGTGGAAATAATACAAGCAACATATCTAACCTGGTTTCTTCGATGCTCCATTATATATATATATAGAAAAAACTTGATTTGACGAGATGCGAGTAAATTATAAATAAAAATGATTTTTGACAAAAGAAGAAAGACGTTACATTTTGCACTAGCGCTTTCACTGTATTAGATCTTCAGGTGCATAGTAACTGTACATAATGGTGTGGCGTCACAACATGTTATCTGTTGATGACGTCATAATATAAAAAGAAAGATATAGACATCTACCAATCAGCAGACACATAGCAGGATGCAACGACGGCTTTTTCCAAATCTTCCCCCTGTATACTTTTTCATCTGAAACCAATCGAATACAAAGAGAAGCCAAGGAGTCAGAAATTATAAACATTTTAAAACCAGACTTGAATATTAATGTTTAACCGCATTGTAAAGTTTGCAAAATATAATTATGCCCCTTTTATATATATATATATATATATACAATTTTACAGAGTAATATAGATTTGAAAGATGAAGGATTTATTCTCCAGTACAAATGTATTACATGGAATCTTATTTTTCCCCATTAAGCTAATTACTTTACATTAGCAATGATTGCAATCATAGAAATATTAATTAAAGTAATAATCAGCATTGAATTACATTAGGGTATTTACATTACATTAGTCAAGGTTATGATGACCTGTCTATATAACGGCACTACCAGGAATATGTCTAGCATCTCTAAAGCATCAAAAGGTAAATATATGACAAAGGTAAATATAAAGGTAAATATATGACAACTACAACAATAAGAGGGATCTGTTATCTCATAGACTGTACAAAAGACACTCAAGATAATGACACCTTTTAATGTAGATTTAGATTTAGAATCAGTAGAGTACAAGAGTGAATTAAAAGCATCATAGAAATTATGTTTTTCAAAGACTAACGAACATTTTAGCAGGTTAAATGTGTCACGATTGTTCAGATTGTTCGGGACAATTTGATTTTGCGCTATTCCTCCTTTATCAGTAAACAGGAAAAAATGCATATTAATATCAATTCGTATAGTTGCATGTTATAAATCAACTGTCAATATCTTTGCTTATTATTCAATGTTTCGATATT